AACAGGGGAGCTCAAATCCAGGTACAACTATTTGCAAGCCATGATTTCTCATTAAAAATATTTTTAATTATAGTTGACAAACAATATATCAGTTTTAGGTGTGCAGCTAGAATTGTCTTGGATCAGCTTTATTCTTTGTGGTCCAATCAACTGTGGTCACATTTGAAGTCACGTGGCCTTTAAAACATGACCACTGCCCTTTGGTAGGGGTATAGGAGGTGTAGCTTCCACAGAAAAGTACAGTAGCAATGGTAGACATTGCTACTACATAAACACAGAAACAATTCCTGTTTTTAGTAGACATTTCATTATTTACCACCAAACCTCTATATAAGTTATTGTATACTTATATAGAATATAAAATATAGCTTAAATGACCTCATTATATTCAAAGTTAGTCCAAACATGAAATGATTACTTCTATTAATGATTTGAGTCATACACAGACTTAACAAACCATTATCCTTGAGGATTACAGATTATAAACAGCTGTGACTCTCAGGTTATTCAATCACTTCCTGATAAATATTCTTTTGCATTGAAATAAAATATAAATGTACTACAGTAAAAACAATTTATACTACTAAAACACAAATCAAAGGAGAGACTACTAGTAGAAACTCTAAAACATTTAAAATGCTACTATGAATAGCCCTGTTGAAAATTATGATGTGAGATTTTGGTTAGCAAATTTGGCGGAAATAGTTCAGCCTTTGAAATTAAATACCTAGTTTATTTTTTTTTACATAATTAAATTTTTTTCAATTACAGTTGACATACACATTATATGGGTTTTAACTGTACAACACAGTGATTGGGTATTTCTATAACTTGCACATTGATAACCCCAATAAATCTAGTCGTCACCTGGCACCATGCATGGTTATTACAATATTATTGACCATATTCCCTATGGTGTACTTTACTTCCCTGTGACTACTCTGCAACTTCTGGTCTGTACCTCATAATCCCTTCCCACTTTTCACCCATTTCCCCCAACAACCCTCCCATCCATCAAACTGTTCTCTGTGTCTATGAGTTTGTCTCTGTTTTGTTTGTTCGTTTATTTTATTCATTGGATTCCACATATAACTACAATCATATGGTATTTGTTTTTCTGACTGATTTCACTTAGCATAAACATCTCTTTATATTTTTTGTTATCAAAAATTAAAAATCAAATACCATTTAACGTGAAGTAATTCCATATGGCAGATTTCTATGCGTTTGACTGAACTTTTTATTTTGCTCAATCATACAGAAAACTTACTACATTCAAACTTTGAGGATGAGAAAACAAAAGAAAACAAGTTCATTTACTAAAAGATGAAATGCAAACAGTGTTCATATTTAATCTTTTCAATGTGCGTGCTTAAATATATTTAGACAATTCTAATGAACTGAATGTTAGTTTGATAAACCAGAAGGAATCTTGAGTTTAATTACATTGGTATGCACTTCTATCTGCTCCTAATGCCAAGGATCCATTGGTAAAATGAATGCCTATTTTGTGGTCTGTTATGCAGAAAATGTTTAATCCAGTGTTTGATTTGCTCTGTGAAATCTTCTTTATTCAATGTGCTTATTCATCCATGCAGAATTGGGTATGTTTCTATGACATTGCAATCCAACAGCTGAAACAAGAACAGCAAGACTTTCTGTAAAGGTTCATGAAATTCCCACAAAGTTATTCATAGCATATTGTTTTATTTTGCTTGCAAGGACTATGAAAAATGCAAATGTGTTCTAAATATTTCTGTGCTGAAGAAGCTGGCAAATACAATAGATAGTACAAATCATCATTGTGTTACTAAAAGTAGCACTTAAAACACAATTCTGTTATAATGGAAATGATTGCTGTCATGACACCGATTAGCTTTTAAAGATGGAAACAGATATGAATTCAAAGGACCTGAATTTGATACAACAGAAAATGGTATGATGGAATAATATTGCTACATATTTGAAATAGCAAACTCTACATTGACCTCACTGGGTATTCTGCAAAACTCCTCAAAGCATATGTATGCTCATAAAAGTACTACTATGTTATTTTGGGTTATTCTTCAGCAGACTGGACTTTCTCCATTTTTAGCTGTTTTGTTGTTCAGAATACTTGTGCTCATAAATTTTGAATACCACTACAACCACAGGCTTAGAGACAGAAATTTTTAAATTCCAAGCAAGCTCGAACACTAATTCTGCATTAAAATGTTTTTCTTTGTAAGCCTGGAACTTGTTATCAGTTGTTACTAACCTACTTCCTGGAATGTTATTGCTTGCTTTTCATGGTGGTAACAGATAAACATTCACACAGACATAGCTGTTTTCCAAGAAGCTCTGTTAACCTTAAAGAACTCAGAAGACCCATGGTTTATCCGAGACTCTCATTTTAGTTTATACTAGAAGATCAGGGTCTGGTTAGTTTGTTTTTTTTACAACATGGTGAGAACGAGATTCCGTGGAGGTGAATTCCATTTGTGTGTGTGTGTGTGTGTGTGTGTGTGTACAATCACGTGACTGCTGGATCCTAACCAATACTAATAACACTGACACCTGGGAAGAGTATGTAATACTTGTGTCCACCTGGCCCCTTACCACTCCCAGAAAATTTTTGCTGTGTCTTTTTGATGCTGGGGTAATGTCATCTATGAAAGCATCAAAAGATCATTCTGTGTCGGACCGATAGTCCAGCCTAGTGTTTCCCCAAGTGGGTGCTGTGGTTTTAAGTTATTATAAAATCCTCATAGTTTAAACGTATATTTATTGTCAAAGATTTGAAGAGTCCCCTAGCAAAGAAGGCATTTAACTAATTGCCTTGTAAATATATCTTAACATCAAACTGCTATTAATATCATGCAGAATGAATTTCCTCCAGAACACATTGGGAAAAATGTCGACCATGGCATTGAAAGGGGTTTCACAGGTTAGTACCACAGATCACCAGCTCTTCAGCATTCAGTAAATATTGTATTAGGTTCCTATTAAATTATACACATTTCTCTAGGTGCCCAGGAGAGTTCAGTGAACGAACATTACTATCCCCCTCTTTCATATAAGGTTTACCTCAATATGTTTATGTGTCTAATTCCCAAGCCATCCTGGAGGGAAAGGCTTTATATTTTATTTAAGAACACATTATCTATGCTATGACACTATATAGCAGTACCATACAGTCAAAATAACTATTGCCGCAAAAAAATATTTTTTGGTCACAGGAATTTAAAACTCAAAGGTCAGAAAAATAGTGAAATGATCAATATGGTATTATATCATTGCAATTAAGAATTTAGTTTTCTGGGGAAGTTCCATACTGATTTCCACAGTGACTGCACCAGTCTGCATTCCCACCCACAGTGCACTAGGGTTCCCTTTTCTCCACAATCTCTCCAACACTTGTTTGTCGGTTTATTGATGATGGCCATTCTGACCGGTGTGAGGTGGTACCTCATTGTGGCTGGGGTGGGGGGAAAAGGCAGAAAGTTGTACTTGAACAATTAAAATAAAAAAAACTAAAAAAGACTTCAAACATTTACCAGTCTTTAGGGTACACTCTAAATAAGATAATGCTAAATCACCAAGTAGATGCATCTAAACCATTGACAGATCACCTTCCAAAGGAATTGTATTAATTCCCACTTCCATTAGCACTGTAGGAGCATGCCTGCTTCCCCATCCCCGTACCAACGTTGTGTGTTAGCAAAGATTTTCTTTTTGCCAATCCAACTGGCAAAAGTCCGTACCTCCCACATGCTCCCGATGACTACAACTACTAACAACAGCATATATTGGCTGATTACTACCAGTCAAATATAGTCCTAAGTACTTTATTGACTTTTCCCTCATAACCACCATGGAATTAAGTGACATCATTCTTGCCACCTTACAGATGAGGAAACTGAGAAGATCATTCCATGCTGGAGGCACAAGGGTGACTGTGGAAGGCAGCTCAGATGACATGTGGTGTACAGGAAGGTCCACTGTTGAATTTTCTCTTTGGAACTCTTGTAAAAGAACTACACAGTGAATTTCTAGGATCAGAAAAGCAGCTTTCTTCACTCCCCTGCCCTCTCTCTCTCTCTCTCTCTCTCTCTCTCTCTCTCTCTTTTTTTTTTTGCTTTGGAATTGTCAGACAGCAAAGCATTTCATATGATGGGGTGGGGGTCGGGTGTGGGAAGAAGCTGACCTTGAAAATCCTTATGAGAGCTCTATTAGCTGCTTCGCAGAGACTATCTAAACCCCTTCAGCAAACACAATTACTTTAATCACTTTAATATAAAGGTCATTTTACCTTGATCATTTGTGTAGTAGCTTATCAGGGAGAATCTTGTATGGACTCCTCCTGTATGTATACGAGTAGAATACCAGATTGTGAATCAATAAACGCTTATCAAGCAACTACTATGCTTTCATATATTTTGCCCTCCTGTTAACCAAGGCTAATTTTGCAAATATATATTTCCAGGATGGCTGTTTAGACTAACTGGAAGTACAGACGCGATGAAGAGTTCCATTCTGGCGAATTTAGGAGGAGAGGTTTTTAGTGGGCTTTCATGGGGGAGACAGAGAGATGAAAAAGATACAGCAATATAGTTTGAAAACAGTGGAGAGAAACACTGGGGGAAACGGTTTTCAGGATGGGCTGAAAATTTCTTTTGTTCACAGAGCAACCTCCCATTTCAATCTGTGCTCTGTGTCTCCTAGTAATTGTTGCTTCATCATTGTGAAGGGTCTTCCCACATTCATCCTAGCGATTGCAGGAAACATAGACATCTTTCTTCTACCACAAACCTCCAGGCTCAAGGCGCTACTGCACTCAGCCTGGGAAACGAATTGAGCTTTCACCCTGCACGCAATCATCTCCAATGCAATGCTGTAGCCACCTACTGGCATCCGCCCCCCAAGAACTGCAATACCCAGAATGCACTGCTTTCTTTTCCTGCGTCCACCGAGGCGAGGCCGAACTTGATCTCATTTCCACCAGCCGTGGTCACGTGACACGCTTCCTGTCAAGATGGCGGACAACCTCCCTTCGGAGTTTGATGTGATCGTCATAGGGACGGGTACGTGCGGCTCTGCCACTTGCCGGACGAAGTACAGGAGGACGTCTGTGGGTTCCTACCTTGCGTGGCAGTGGCGAGGGGGTGGCGAGAGCGATTCCCGGGGTTGAGCACTTGGAGGGAGGACGGGATCGAAGTTAGGCAGAGCCTGGATGCGGCGCGGGATCTGGCAGCTCCAGGGAGGGGCTCGGACCCGCGGGGTTTAGCGCCGCGTGAGTAGGGGGTCGATCCGGTCGCTGCGGAAGGCTGAGGTCGGTGGCTGCGGGCGATCCCCGTGATTGCCTTCGCGGGAGGTGGCTTTGCAGAACGGAGGGGTGGGATTTTCTCAATGGAGGCGCCTCTGGCTTGACACGATTCCCTCCTTGTCGATTTCAAGGTGATATTGCCCATGATCGTGTCTCGCCATTGCACAGGAATTCTGCGTCGATTTATATAATCCTAGGGTGCAGGGCAGCTCGGATACAACGGAGTCCCCAGTTTTTGAAAGGAAGATGCTCAGTTTTTACCCGCGTTCGTTTTAACTTACCAGGGCAAGGGGACGGATTCTTTTCTATTGTGTTAAGTCTGGGGGATTGTCATTTGCGAGGTAGCCATTATTCTTGCTTTATGGTGCAGAAAGAAAGCATCCTGCTTTCTGCCACCCACCTACCGACCCACAATACACGAGCTGAGGAGAACCTTCTGTGAGTTCCATCCAGTTCAGGTGTGTGATCTTATCGTCCTCTCGTTTTCCCACCGTTTATTTTCCATCTTTTGGGGGGAGCCAACCCCCCCTCCCTGCAATTTCTAGCTGACAAATTCAACGTACAACGCACGGCTGAAGACATCTGGCAGCAGCTGGTATTTCGTTTTCCTTAACAGTGTGGAGGGTGCGTTTTGAGACCGGGCGAAGTAGATACTTGGGTGGGGTTTTCTCCTGTCTGCAGAATGTGGTAGGCCAGACAAGCTCTGGTGCATGAGGCCTTGTCGGGTGTGTCATTGAATTCAGTTTCTCGTCTTTTCAAACCCTGGGAGCAGCCATGTTTCCAGGGCAAGAGTAAAGGAATAGCTGCCTATTTTCCAATGCTTATGATTTGCCAGCCGAGGTACCGAGCACTTGACAGGCTCTGTGGAATCCTCCCAACAGCCTCGTTAGAGTAGGTATTCTCTACACTTGACAGAAGAGGAAAACGGTGTTTGGAGAGGTTGCAATTTGCTGAAGATCACAGAACTGGTACATTTCCAAAGGCCCAGCCCAGAAGGCAAGTCAGTAGTTCTGATCTTCAGACTTAACTCATATTCATAGAAATAATTGGCAAACCTTGATTCCAGACCTTGCTTGGCTGTTGACTAGCTGTGTGAATTCCTAGGGCTAGGCACTTAATCTCTCTGGGCCTCAGTTTCCTGGTTTGAAATACAGGACGGGTAAACTACATAGTCGTTCTGGTGCTACCTAACCAAAAATTCTTTTATTCTAGTTCCACCTGGAGAACTGTTCTCAGCACAGTAAGGGCATGTCGATTTCCACCGCGAAAACTACAGAGCTGCAGATAACCTTCCTGTAATTGCTATGAACAGATGTGGCAAGGAGCCAATAGACTATTCACTTTTTCTCTCCAGTCTATCCTAACACTGAGAACAATGCCCATTTCAGAGCAGTTGTGATACTATACTTTGATTCTATGCTACTTGCCTTGCTTTTTTGTTACCAAGGAACTTGGGTGTTTTAAAAATTTCAGTGAACCATTAAGTGATTTTTATCTTATCTCGATTCAAAATTATTTGGTAACATTGCTAATTCTTATTAAAAACTGTTGATTCTTATGATAAATATTCTACCTCCTGATTCAGTTCTTAACATGGACTGCTTCCTTTGTGTTGGAGAATGTTACGATAGACTTAGGAAGATACTGTGAGTGATCCAGAAGATTGCATCAGGAGGGATCTGAAATCAGGCAAAAGATGCATTTTAGACTTATTTCAGTGAGAGCGATGTTATTACTCAAAATATTGGAAGAACTTATTTGAAGTTAATCTTAAAAATTAAGTTTTTCATGATCACTTTATGAACATTTCTGACTTCATCAAGCACATTGCTTAAGTTTACGAATTGAACCTTTGTTTTGAGGTATGTCAAAGTGGAAGAATTGGATAAAAGTTATTTTCCTAAAAGCATGATTCCAGTCATTGCAATCATTACTTACAATTGGACTTACTTTTAATGTGTTTGGAATATTTCTCCTCTGAAATCGTTTGCTGAAAGCCATTCACATATTTTTGCTTTACTAAATGTCCAAGCTTGAGTAAATCATAAAAAAGCAGTGTTTCACAGATTCAGTTTTACTGACAAAAGTAGAATTGCTGATGAGTGTATCAGAAACGTGAAGAAATTAAAAAATTACAATGTAGTTTTTTTCCAGCAGATTTAGTTCTAGTTAAAAAGTTATCAACAGACAGTTGGTGCGTCAAGTCAAACCATCCATGAAAACTATTTTAAATAACTTTGATGTTGATTAATTTGTATTTCTTTTTACCTAAAAGGTTTTCCTTAAGATCACGTTTTGCAGGGATTATGGGAAAATAAAGTTTTGTCTGTATTTTCTGAGTTAGGCCCATTTCCTTCTGATTACAAAATACAGGAAATATCTCTGGAACACCCAAAGGCAGAGGAATAAGATAAAATACGTGAACCATGGAAAATATAGAGTAAACTAAATAAGGAAGGACGACCAACTGGAGTCTTAAGGGAGAGGACAAAGATATGTGATAAGTGTCTAGAAAGTGGCCTTTAGTTTGGGTACACAGTTGTCATTTTTAGACGTTTCACAATTTCAAAAGACATTTGAATGACAATTTTGCGGATTGTAGAGAAGCATCATTGGTTTCCGGTTAAAAAATTGTCCCAGGGACTTAATGCCTCCCTGGAGGTGACCTATCCGGCAGCCGATGTAATCTGCCCTCTGGAGCAGAGCCAACTCAACCGAAGAGCAGGCAAGATGGAAGTTCCAAGAGCCACGTGGTAATGTCGACAGCCTTCTTATGTAGGGGAATCTCTCTGGCTCTCGCTTAGGGCATGGACATTCTTACTTGAGAAATAATTCTAGCTTCCCGGGAGTGTACTAGAAGCATCCTGCTGGAAGGTACAGGGAGTGGCACCAGCTTTTGCAAAAGCTGTGTTTGGGGGGTGTCATGAGACATAAGTGACAGTTCATGTCCTTGTGGGAAAGGGAAGAGTCTAACAGCCGAAAGGCAAACCTGCATCAAACGGCACAGTGGCCTGGGGCCATTTAGCGGAGTGACAGACGTTCAATTTGCAGCATTTTCAACCCACATTTACCGAAAACTTCATCCCTGCCCCTGTGCAGTTGACTGTATTGCCTGTTCTAAGCAACTCTCTGCGGTTGCTGACAGTTACATCCTGAGAGCTACTCATGAGCCAATGAGGGCTTCTCCTTGAGCACTTCTTGCTTTCTGAAGGTGACACAGAGATTCCATCTGTATCCCTTTGCTTTCTAAAGTACACCACACACATAATAGCTTGGATTTCTTCCCCTGAGATGGGTTGTGGAGTAGGCTAACTTAATTTTTTTCTGGCAGAGCATAAACGCACAAATCCTTTTTTAAGAATTGTATCACTAAAGATTATGGGGAAGGAAATGAGATAACCAAAATGACACATGGAAATTACAAGTACCGTTGCTTCTAAATCCTGACCACCTTGCTAGATAGTTCTCAGCGCAGCACACACTGGATGTGGCAGCGGGGCACCGTGGGGCTTACTTGACCTTCCTGAGTGGCTTTTGGCAAATTACGTAACCTCTTGGGGCATCATTTTGTTCATCTGCAAAAGTGAGACATTTGAGTTAGTGACTTCCATGATCTACATCTACCAGCTCTGAAATTGATCGTCGTGTGTGAATAATCATGGCTCTGTGGAAAAGCCTAGATTCTGTATAGTTCTTATAATAAGTCAAATCGGTGTTTCATATACTCGACAAAATTTTCTATCCAAGCGGCTCATAAAAAAAAAAAAACATTTTCTTAAAACGGATAAGCTGCTTTTATCATGTCGGCAGTGCTGCTCTATTACCCAGTGTTGGTCGACAATCAGAAACGTTAAGGGAATTAGCTTTGGCCAGCATCTCATTGCCCACAGTGTCCTTATGTCGGGGGCGGAGTAGCTACACTTCTTTAAACGTTGGGGGGTGGGACTGTGGCAGGAGGTGTCATAGCAACTGTTTGTGCCACACTCTGTGCCAAGTGATTTCCCTTACATGTTTGTCATTCGCTCCTCTTCCAGGGAGCCAACATGTGGTTCTGACATTTCAGGATGTCCATACTCCCTCTGCTTGTGTTTCCAAACATCCACGGACCCGTGGTCTACAGCAGATTTGTTTAAATTGCAAGGGGCCATCAATTATTGGGTCATGAAATCAATTCCAACATTAAAAAAGGTGTAGAATAGAATATCTCAGAATATATAACATGTCGTCAGGATGAGCGCAGTTTTATGAAACAGTTCATATGTGTATAATACATCATGGTAAAATACACATATCTGTACACGCAGGATGGGGCAAAAGAAGGTTTTACAGTTGTGACTGTGAATCAGTTTATTTTTGTATTATTTTCCATATGAACAACTGTAAACCTACTTTTGCCTCGCCCTGTATAAATATATTTACATACACCTGTATATATTTAAAATATACATAAAACAACAAAAGGACACAGAGTGGTAACAAGTGTTACCTGGGGAGTGTATTGCATAGGGAAAGAGGGGTCTTCCATTTTTTATGTCATATAAGTGTGTTCAGTTTGGTGTTTTAAAACAAGCTTTTATTACTTTCATTTCTTAAAGCATGGTTTCTGAAGCTGAAAGGAGTCCTTAGAGATCACCTAGTCCATCTGGAGACAGTGCCCCCCGTGCCCAAGGTCACAGGGTAAGACAGTAATAGGTTTAGGACTCCCAGCTCCCAGCCTGGTTTCCATTAGAGCCTGCTGCCAGGGTAAATAACTGTCGT